GAAAATGTAAGATCTCCCATGCTCTTGGATAGGTAGGATCAACATAGTAGAAATGGCAATCTTGTCAAAAGCAATCTACAGATTCAATGCAATCCCCATCAAAATACAGCACAATTCTTCACAGACCGTGAAAGAATAATATTCAACTTTATATGAAAAAAACAAAAGGCCCAGGGTAGCCAAACATCCCTGTACAATAAAGGAACTTCCAGAGACATCACCATCCCTGACTTCAAGCTCTATTATCTGAAAACAGCTTGGTACTGGCACAAAAACAGACAGGTAGATCAGTGGAATCAAATTGAAAACCCTGATATTAAGCCACACACCTATGAACACCTGATTTTTGACAAAGAAGCTAAAATTATACAATGGAAAAAAGAAAGTATCTTCAACAAATGGTGCTGCCATAACTGGATGCCGGTGTGCAGAACACTGCAGACAAATCAATATCTATCGCCATGTACAAAACTTAAGTCCACATGAATCAAAGACCTCAACATAAATTTTGCCACATTTAACCTCTTAGAAGAGAAAGTGGGAAGTACTCTTGAATGAATTGGCACAGGAGACTGCTTCCTGAACATAACACAGATACTGAGATCAACAAGTAATAAATGGGACCTCCTGAAACTGAGAAGCTTCTGTATGTGCCTTACTAGCAAAGTCCTTGTCTACCATGCATTTGATCTTTGGTTTGATTCCAGCATCATATTAGAAGAAGATACAAAGAATAGAATATGCCATGCCCGATAGTCACTACCCTAAGATTAGCTGAGGAACCAAGATTGATGGACAACTCAAAAGTCCCTAAACCACAGAAAAGCTGCTAGTGGAACTTCCTAGGAATCCACACATCCAGGGAAAGCTGCCTTACTGGGGAATAGTTGTATACATAATATCCGGAAATAAGTTTTGCCAAGTTGCAGGAGCCTTGCCCTGGAGAATCTGTCATTACTGGGATTGGAGAAGCTGCCCTTGCTGTAGTTGATAAAGCAATGGGCCTGCTCAGAAGCTGGGAAGACTCCTAACCTGGAACCCTTGGGCTGTGCCTTCTCCTGTCAAAGTTATTCACCATGCTTCTTAGCAGAAGGATGATATTTAAATGTCTCAGATCCATTTTCAATGAGCAGGCAAAATGCTGAATTTGGAATTGAAAGGCCAGTTCATTAACTGACCAAAATATAGATGTAAAGCCAATATAATTCTTGAGTTGAACTTTCAACATCTGAATTATGGTTTGTGTTCAACATGTATATACTCCTGACTGTGTGTGTGTGTGTGTGTGTGTGTGTGTGTAGGGGGTGTGTATGTATGTATGTGTGTTGGGGTGCATTTTAATTTCTGTAAGATCTTTGCGGGAAACTACTTGGAACAATTTAAACAGCCCCTGTGTGAGAAGCACACAAGTGATTTAAAAATTCTGGATCGGTCCAAGACCGTAGTGCACACCTATAACTCTGCCTTGTGGGGAGGTTGAGGCAAGATACAATCAAGGGCAGCCTGGCTACGCAGTGAGTTCCTGTCTTAAATCAGAACCAAAAACAATTACCATAAAACATCTCAGAACACATGATTGTATTCAGAGAATACGGAGAAGGAAGACATTTGGGGGTGAATAATTCAGCTTATAACCAGTGGTTGCTTGTCATTGGGTACCACAAGGTCTCGGTTCAAATTCCAGGCCAGCCAGTTGTATCTTTGGGCTACGAAATCCCATTCGCTTCAACTCCCACCTTGAACTTTGTTTTTCTCATCTACTCCCTGAGACCATTGTGCAGATTAGGCCCCCTGACGTTGCAAAGCATTTGGAACAAGTCTGTGGAATGTGCTAAGAGCAGGAGATGTCAGCTGTTAATGATGGTCTTGCAACTGTCATTTGTACACTTTATTATAAATACATAATTACTACTTCTCATGTGACACAGTATCTTTCAGCATAAGGGAAACAGCCTACAAAGAGACAATTACCAAAATAAAAAACAGTTTTTTTCCTGAAGACCTTCACTTATGCTGCTTCTGCCTCAAGGACGGCATTGCTGGCTTCTGAATCCTTTGCCTACACGGCACCCACTCAAAGGCCTTCTTTGGACCTCCATGTAAAGTTAATGCTAAGTTTTGCTGCGAGCCTCATGGACTTATCTTTTCTTTTCTTGTCCTAAAACTCTTGTCTGAAGCTCTTATATTTTGATTTGTTCTGTCTCCTCCATCATAACATAAACTGTGTTTCTCACTGCTACTGCTCTGGTACCTAGTTTCTCAAAACCTGGCACACAGAAGGTAGCTAATTGTAAAGATTAGAACGGCTCACACACAAATCACTGCAGCACACTGTTTTGAGGGCAGTGTAGGTTGCACAAAAATGTGTTGCATCTACACAATGCAATGTCACAAATAGAAGACCTTGAAATGCAGAGGGGAGTATATTCACACATTTCGGAATAATATTTTTATCATTCATTTGTTTTTGTTTTGTTTTTTTCAAGTCAGTGGAAAGCTTTTTTCTCAGGACATTGGTACCCATGTTACTAGAACAATACGTGGATATCTAAAAATATTAGCATCTGTATCTATGAGTGGAGATTTGGAACTCCCTTGGCAATCATTGTGACTCACTGAAAATGGTCTGGAACTGAGCAGTTAATGACCTCTCTCTCCTTTCTTACCCAACCCACTCTGCCGCATCTGATCAGATCCAGGGCAATCACAGACTTCAAAAGAGGTTAGGGTCAGCTCTACAGGGCACAGAGAAAGGAGAGCAAAAGCTCAGTGAGTACAAAGGCCATCAAATCTGAATACACATCTCTCTGACTGAATCCACAGAGCATAAGAATTGAGACAGTGATTAGTTTTGGCTTAGGATTGTTCTGTTAGGCCTGGACGGTCAGGCAGGCATTTCAATGGTCAGACCTTGTTTTGCTTGCAGCAAAGAGCAATCAAGTAAAAACACACATGCACCTTTCTCCCAGGAGAGTTTAAGTGCAACTGTTCAAAAATTCTAGTTATCAGATGATTTGGAATAGGGAGGGCTCTGCCTGTTTAACTTGTTTTTGGTAAGTACCTTGTCTATTGTAGTTTGATGTTGAATCACTATTTAATCACACTGAAGGGAATTTCAGTTTAAACCTGAATTCCAGACCACACCTTTCTAGTACTTTCCAAACAGAAACTGAGATAATAGGTATATGCTAATACAGTAAATAAAACCCAGATCCTTAAGAATCAACTTTAAAGTAAATAACACAAAGTATCTGCAGTTAGTAATCCAACCTTGGTTCAACAAAGTTGACAGTCGAGCATGAATTGACCTTCAAAGGGATCAGTGGACAGCCAGTGGTGACAGTCCCTAACCTGTAATAACAGCCAAAGAATACCTGAACTTCCCTTTTTCTGTTTCCAAACAAGGCTACATTTGGAGTGTCCAGAAGTCATAACAGTCCATTCTTTAAAGTCTATTTCTACAATAGAATAGAACATGGAAACATGGTATCAGCCTTCCTAATGCTTTTTTCAGTGTGAGATGTAACATTTCTAACTGGACCCATATTGCAATGTACAAGAGATCTCTAGGACTGAACTTGTACAACTGGATGTTTTCACTAATTACAATTCCTCCAGTCTTTCAAGAGTTTAAGTGTTGGACAACACTGCTCAAAACCATTTCTAGCAATATTTGTCATTTGTGGTAGAATGACAACAGAATCCGTGGTGAGGCTGGAAACTTTACTTAATCGTTGGCCATCTTTTGGCAAATGTTGAATAGTGTTCTTCAAATGTCAGCGGCTAGGGGAGTTTGAGTGTAAAATTAACAAATTCTTCTGAAATCTTGGACCTTGGTTTTATTAGCTGTAAATCCTATGAGAAAAATACTTTGATATGACACGTTAAGTTTACTAGGGAAAAATTATTAAAAAGCCCCACAATGCTCATCTTGGTTTTCTCTCACAGGGAATGTAAAAAGTGGACAACCAGAGTGTGAGGCCATTCTATGGCAGGAAGATAAAATTGATGAGTAGGAAAACATACATATGTATAACCCACTTCCTGCCCATCTGTGCTGGAGAGTGAACCCAGGGACTGGCATATACCAGGCACGCTCTGTCACTGACTAACTCCCACCGCTGAATGCATTTTTTTTTCATGCAAACTGATATCCATCTGCAGTGAGAGCATTGCTCCGTCTGACCCCTGAGCAAGCACATATACAGGCACTGTACTTAGATCACCTGCAGTGATTTTGACCAACTTACAAAGTGCAGTCAGTACACAGTCATTAAGAGCAGTGAATTGGTTTCTTTTATTTCTCCCTTTTAGTACACACCAGAGTGTGTTTTAACCTTTCATTATTGCTCACTTCATTAGGAAAAATGACCCCGTGTTTCTTTTACATACTGTACTATTCATCAGCAAATGTAAGAGGTCCTTGGCATACAAGGGTTGGGGTTTGCTTTTCATGAATCTTGCCTGAGCAAAGCTATATGAATCCCAATTATTTTATCCACTGAGAAGTTTAAATTAGTGCTTTTCTGTGTAGGGCAACGTGAGGTTTTTCAGATCCTTAAAAGAAACCGAATGTGCTATTTAAATAACTGACCTTAGAGATGCAGCCAGAATATTACTGCTATCATTTCTATCAGCTGCTGCTGTTTGCAGTCTTTAAAATAACACCAGCTTCTAATGAGGGGGAAGAAAGCCTTCCTAGACTTGAGTCAACGTCCAGTGTCTAACTTTCTCTTAGCTTCTTGTGTGGTCACCTATAATTGCTATCCAAAGGCCCACAGGGCTGTTTTCCAAGACCTGAAGTCATGTCTTTTACGGTTTGACCCTACAAGGTACTATAAAAACAAAGCTCCTTATTGGTGGGGAGAAAAACCCTCTGGTACAGCATGGTCCCTTGAAACCATCCAATTTGATCTGTGATTCCTGTTGAGATATGTATTACATCACGCTCTATTTTTGGCTTCTCTCATTAATCAAAACCTATCCCATTTATTAAACAGCTTCCTGGGGCTCAGGCATTTGGAATGAACAGGGCCAGCAAGCAGCTGCCAAACGCCATGAAGGTGGACTACATGTGAGTCATTTCAAGAGGGATTTCAAGTGACTGAGAGGCCTCTTTATCTCTTGGTGACTTAAGCAGAGAATGGAGTTGTCATCTTAAGGCAATGGAACCTGGAGCTGTGGATCAGCCATGGGGAGGATACGGGTCCCAGCCCAGCAGTCTTTCCGGGGCTGCTGATGAGCGTGACCTTTGCAAGAAATGCACGGAGCCTTGATTTCTACAGTTAACCTTTGCAAGTCGGAACCCCTCTGTGAAACTTACCCCCAGCCCAGGGAAGCTCAAATCCAGACACATACACATTTCATGAAAAAGCAGCTTGGAGCAGGCACAGGCGCGGAGCATACATTATCAGAGGATGAGGACCTACTTTAAAGTATTCTCCCAACTGTGTTTTTTTCATGCATCTATATACATCTTCCTCTGGAGCAGGAAAAGTGAGAGTCCTCATTGCTGTCACCTCTATATTTAAATGTATGTGCTACTCCTCAGTATGCCCTTTATAGAAACGGGTGGTAGGAATGGAAAATATGTGTGTTCGGCATTCCCATTTTCTTAATGTTAAGTAACAATCAAGACTATGTGTTGAGGGGTGAGGGTGGATGGAACATTAATAGCCTCAGTTTCTGCCCGTAATCAGAAAAGAAAGCCATTTTTATGTGGCAGTGTCTCAAATGTGTTCTTTACCCCTAACCTTCTGAATAGTCACTACAAATGTAGAGATCTTAGAACATTATGAAGTGACTCTGGTGGTATCCTTTTAAATGTTATTGGCACATATTTGCTGTACACAGTGATGGGTTTCTTTCTTTAAAAAATATTTATTACTTTATGTCTATGTGTGTGTACCTGAGTGTATGTATGCACTCCACATGTGTACAGGCACCTGGGGAGGCCAAAAGAGGGCGTGAGATCTCATGGAAGTGAAGTTATAAACAGTTGTGAGCTCCCAGAGTGGGCACTGGGAACCAAACCCGGATCCTCTGCAAGAGCAACGAATGCTCTTAACGCCCCCCCCAGCCATCTTCCCAGCCCCTTGACCAAGTTCTTTGCGCACCTCATCTCATGGGCTTACCATGCCTTTGCTCCTGCTAGGGTGAGTTCAAGCGTCATTATGGATAGAAAAGTCAAGTTCAAAGAGGTTAAAGAGGATGTCAAAGGTAATCACTAATAATTCCGGCATGTTGACCCCTCTTCTTTCCGTGACTACAGTGAGGGGTATGACAACGGGGGTATGGAGAAGCAGTGCCGTGCAAAGGCATTTGATGTGTCTTTACAGCCCCTCATCCTGTAGCTGCCTGTTCATTGTATTCATTCTCAACCCTTGTCAACATGCAGGAAAACCCCGAAGAACAGCGCCCGTCTAGAAATCATCTGGCCATTGAGAAACATGCTTGCCTGTCAACTGATCCCATATGGGGAGACGGCCATGAGGAGTGGGGAGTGGCACTTGGAGATATGTATTCCCATTAGCGGTGGGATGCTGGGAAGGGGGGATGCACTACAAAATATTAAACAAAGAACAGATGACTGCCAAGGCCATTCATGAACTCCTCTGCTCACCCCCTACGGATGAGGCAGAGAAACTACACACGAGTGGTTTGTGAAATACACAAATCTGGTTCAGCACTTGCACTGGGGATACAGCGGCAAGTGCTGAGAATACAAATTCCAGATCTGGCTACAAATAACTCCGAGCAAAGACTAGGTGTGAAGAACTGCATGAGAAATGTGTAAGGCAAATGAGAATTCGGGAGTGGGATGGGTTATTTCTGGCTGAGGCAACAGGGAAAGCTTTGTGTCCAGTGATGGGGCCGTGATGGATGAGCGGGACTCAGGCAAAGTTCCAGTTCTCAGAAGTGAGGCTAATATATCACTGCCTCTGCGAGTCCAGCTTTAGGATGGTAAGGTTTTGGTGAGATGTTTAAGATTCCAGTCACGTTTATAAAATGAGGTCAAATGTACAAAGCACTGCCATCCAGTACAGCTGCCTCACATCAGTGTGTCCTAAGTCTTTACTTCTCCAGATTTACATCATGGCTCCTTATAAAAAATAACTGTTCTACAAAAGCGATATACAATATCACTTTCTATTTGAGGAAACACATTCAGAAAGACAGTCTCTTGCTCTCACTAGTAAATGAGAAACTAACATGGTGTCTTTCAGCAAACAAAATGCTAAAAAGAATGCTCAGCCTGGATTGGATAGATGGCTCAGTGGTTAAGAACACTGACTGCTCTTTCAAGGTCCTGAGTTTGATTCCCAGCATTCACATGGTGGCTCATAACCATCTACAGTGGAATTGAATACCCTCTTTGGGAATAAAGGAATAACTCATCTACATAATGAATAAATAAAATTTTAAAACCTACAAGAAGATACTTAGAGAACTCCATTGGTTAGTTGGGTAGGCAAATGTGGACTCTTCCAGGACAAGAAGCTATTCTGAGAATGTGAATGTGAGCTAATCGGTCAGTGTATTTACCCCTCCCCCATTTACCCCTCCCTCCCAACTGCACACTTAAAGCTTTCATACATAACAAAATACTTGGGGGAGTTTAAGGGGACTCTCTCTTTAGTTTCAGCTAACTACGGTTTTTCCCTTTCTGTTTTCAAATAGGGGAGCAGCTGTGGAAAAGACAGAAAGTAGCATAGCTTGGAAAAAAGGGGGGGGTACATGTAGACGTTGAGGACTGAGCTTGCTAGAATAAGACGTGATCCACCTCAGAGGGAGGAAGGGGATTGTCCCCTCTGTGTTTCCAAGTCTAGCTCTGCAGAGATATCTAGGTCCTTAGTGTGCTAATTGTTCAGATTTCTGATATTAGAGAGAGTTATTCCTTAAACCTCACCCATTGGACTGGAAAGATGCCTCAAGGGTTAAGAGCACTGGCTGCTGCTCTTCCAGAGGACCTGGGTTCAAGTTGCAGCAACCACATGGCAGTTCACAGATCTAGGGACCCTGCCACCCATCCATGGCAAAACCAATGCAAAGAAAAAAAAAAGCCTGATGAATTTTTTTCTCTGTGCCACCTTCAGTGTGGACCTGGAAGAAATCAGTATGGTAACATGTTTTGAGCCTTCAAAGCTAATGCTTGGTTCTCAGCGGGGAAAGTGACTTTAATTAATTCGAGAAGACCTTTCCATTGAGAAGCAAAAACACTGCCCTAGGCTCTTTAGAAAGCTTAGCTTGCACCTTTCCCCTCTGCTGTTATGAGGGAGGAGTAAGTGTAGCCTATGTCCTTGCCAGTGAGTGCGCTCTATTAGCAAAGAAGAAAATAAACAAATAAGCAAGCAAAAAAAAAAAACCTGTTGGTAGTCAATTATCTTCTCTATTCTAATGAGGTCTAAGGCAGAATATAGAATCTTCCATCACAATAAAATATGACTAAAGACCTCATCAATACTCATTTAGCAAATGCTTTGGAGTAGACCATCATTTTCTAATGCTTAGGAATTTCATTATTTCTTATTTCAGTGACCATGTTACAAAAAATATTAAGTGAAATGGGATTAGGTTTGCCATTTGTCATTCACTGGGAGTAGGCTTCTGCTCTGACATGTGGGCACTCATACCCAGGGCTTAATGCTTTCACTAATTGTAAGGATCACAGAGGCTATGTTGATTGGTGGGAGAAAAAACATTCTTTATTAACTGCTCAGAAATAGTTAATTCTTCATTAGTCTGAGTCCTACACTAGAGGCTGCTGCGGTGAACCGTGGATTAGAGTTTATGATAGTAATAACCTTTCTGAAAAAACATTCGTTACTATACTTAATGGCCAGATTTTAGCACATTAACCTTCCAGGGGAGGTCAACTAACAAAATGGATGTTAACTGCTTGTAACAACCAATTCCTCTGAAATTAATATTTAGATGCCTTTGGTGTCAAAAAACCTTCCTTCCATATCAGGGCATTAAAAACACTTCTGAATTATTAATAGCAGGCAGAACTCAATGCCTGAAAGATTTCCATTCCAGCGCTCTTTTTCCCCCCTCAGCCTCCTCCTATTTAGAGTTCTTTGCTGCAGGAACAAGGAAGGCATTCAGGGAAATGAGGTCTCAAAAATGCATGTGGGTCAACAATGCAGGGCAGTTTGGAAAAGGTCACTCTTTAAGTTCAACAGAAATAAACATAATAGGAGTGTGAAAGGCAGCAGAGAGCACCCTGGGAGCCTGGCAGAGACAAACTCCCCGCCAGCCCCAGGCTTCACAGCGACAGCCCTACCACCACCTGTCAGGAGCTCCTTAACGACGTTTTTGCATCCCTTCTGCAACTGACCTCCTGACTGGGCTCTCGGCCCCTCCCCCTCCTTCAATTGGAAACAAACCACATTTATGTCAAAACAACTTCTGAACTATTTCCTTCCCCAGCAACCCCAGAATATAAAACATGTTCTGAATGGCTGCCCCATTCCCTGGAGGAATTTTATGATTTCGTTACTGCCGCACAGCATGTACGGCTGCTTGGCCGAGGTAGCCTTGAGTCCCTGCCAAACAATGAAGCAACACTATTATTAGCCTTCCCATTCAACAGTAACAAAACAGCCCATGTTTCTATTTTCAGATGGCTTTCTTCTGGTGCAATAGATATGCAGAAACTTGAACCTCAGGCCAGGACTGGACCAGCAGGGCTAGGCAGCGATCTATTGCCAAAACGCAGTGGCCTGAAGGAGAAAATATTTAATGGTAGTATTTTTAGGCAGAGGTCAAATGCAGATAAGCTGCCAAAGTGCTGTCTGCCAAAGCCTTGACTGGTTTATACCAACTCTGTTGGGGTTGGGCTAGCACCCCTGACATGTCTGCCCCAAGAAATCTGCAATGCTTGAAAATTTTGTCAGACAATGCAGTTACATGTGGGATTTGATTATCAACTAGCCCCCACTTGGATGGAGAGTGGAGCTTGCAAAAATCACACAGTGAGGGAGTAGAGAGATGGTTCGGCAGTTAAGAGCACTGGATGCTCTTTAAGGAGTTTCGATCCCAGCACCCACGTCCTGTAACTCCAGTTTCAAGGAATTCAATGGCTCCTTGGTCTTCTGTGGGCACCTGTATGCTCACTCATGTACCCTACCCTCCCCATCCTCAATAAATTCTTACAAAAAAGTGCATACATAAGAATGTTGAAGCTGAAAGGTTCAGGCATTACTCTGGCCTGCCCTGTTACCTGGCAGGATGCACTCAGGCAACACTCTGGCCAGCCCAGAGTTCCGTGAGAACCAGGCAGGTGCAAAGGACCCCTTTAAAGGACTGACCCCTGCCCGTTTATGCTCTCTTACTCTCTTGCTCTTGCTCTTACTCTCTTTCCCTCTTACACTCTTACTCTCATCTTACTCTGTCTCTCTCTGTCTCATATCTTATCTCTCTCTCTGCTCCACACGGGTTGGTTACCTCTCACCCCCCTTCTCCCTCCCCGTCCACCAATAAACTCCACGTGGGATCGTTGAGTCGCGGTTTGTGTCTCCTTACTGGATAAACCTAAACATTTTAACAACAGCAGCACTCTGACATGCTCAGTGACAAGCCACCAGTGATGACTCCAGAAGGCCTGGGCCATAAATGCACATTCTAGGTTGGCCTTTTTCTAATGGGGTTGTATGATATAGGAATTCCATGTAGACAGATCATTACAATGTTGGGACTGTTTTCATTTGTAAATAAGATTTTCTATCTGACCATTCATCCAAAGCAAATTCTGTAAAAGAATTATTTTTATTTAACTAGATTTTTTCATTATTTTGGGCATAGTTGCCACTACACCATTATGTATCTAAATAATTCTTCCTGTTATAGTTGTAAGAATTATTATGAGAGAGTTATAAAGGAAATTGTC